TGTGATTTCGTACTTTGTCAGAACCTGGTACATAATAAGCGACCAGAGGGTGACATACGAATTTTTTATCATTATTTATAACTAATTTTTAGAAAAGCTAGCCTGCACGAACTATTTTCTTCACTTCTACAACTTTCAGAAGACTAGAATTCCACGATGTCTTGCTTCGAACGATATTCAATGGCTGATAGAAGCAAAACTACAAAAATTTCTACATTTTCCTGCAGTGGAATCAAAAACGTACAGTGAGTTGATATTGATCATGTATTCATGCCTGAAAACGTTCTTTGCCACTGTTCACCTTCACTTTCCCGTACTTCGGAAATCTATGTTCGGAGGTATTTGTCGTGAAATATGTAACCTCCCCTTCAAAAAGCGAGAAAGTGTCGGGTGCAGACCAAACACCACAACTGACGACGGCCTCCAAGTAAATCTGGTTAGAAGTTGTTCATAGTGATAGCTGATTTCTGGTAAATGATAGTTGTAATTAGTGACAATCGATAGAATACAACTGCAACAGGCTAATCATTTCATTGGCAGAAAACATTAACATTTTGTGAAGGCCGTCGTCACTTGTGGTGCATGGTCTGCACCCGACACTTTCTCGCTTTTTGAAGGGAGGGTAAATTTGGCTAGAGATTGCTCTGGAATGTGGCCCACAATACATGTAAAATTCGGATCCTTTTGTTAACCCAGCAACATTCGTGTTTTAGGGTCTGAAAATTCGTAGAAGGAAATTTCTAGTTAAAGGTCCCAGGACGAATCTCAAGAGGAAAATCTTGTAAAAGCTTGATGATGTTTATTTCTCAGTGGGCTGTAGAAATGCTCATGCCGTTTAGGTGAAGTGTTGTGTAATTTTCTGTTGGGCTTGCACGCGTACAGAGGTAGCCCCGACTATGTATCTAGCGATTCGCTTGAGAAAGAATTCAATGGAGTGATGAAAGAGGTGAGTTTTTCAATAACAGCTCCCATTGGACTCGATCTGATGCCAGTTTTCAAACAGGTTTCCGAATTTGGCCCAGTATCATCCGCTTCTGTTCGGCGAATGGCGCGAGGAGCTTGGAGACGACTGGAACATGGTCGACCTTCCGTCCTAGGTTGTTTGATAGCGCTTTGAATCTTCACAATCAACCCTATATTTCATCCATTTCAGATCCTTCGTATTTCGATGACAAATTCTTCAACAAATTTCTTCCCGAGTATTTACAATTACAATAGTAACAACTCGACGACGATTTCCATATCCATAATCGGGTACTTCCCCGGGTTTCCTCTGTGCGTTTCGCCGCCCGCCAGTGGTCCTTCCATAGTCGAACGAGGCAGCAATCCATGTTGAGCCCCACGGTTTCTTTTTTGTGTTTGATTCGCGTCCATTCCTGTCATATTACGCACCTATTCATTCCTTTCCTGTATTTAATTCGTTGTTTCGTATGGTCGTTAGGGCTGTTGGTCAGTTCCCCGTACTGTTGGTCCGTTCGGTTCCCGTCTCTATCCGGGGACCAATCGATAGCCCCATTGTTTCAAGTTCATTATCATTGGTTAGACTGGTTAGCTCTTGATCCCAGTTAGTTCCTATTAGTCTATCTATCTATCGCCCTTGTGTGCAACATATACGTTTTCCCTCCTCTACAGGTTGTTCGATGTGCAATCATAGTGTTCAATGTGCAATCGCTCTGACTGCGATGTGTGAATGTGTATTTTAAATGTACGACGAATTAGGTACACCTTAATTCTACTGTTATTGGCCTTGTTATTTGTCTACTTTTTATCGCGCCGATGTGGGAACCGTGTTTTTGTTTGGGGGGGAAACGAGCGAAGTAAGAGTTTATATGCAGTCAGTTTGTGTTGAAGCCCAAAGAAAAAACACAGCCACGTAGCGAGGATAGTTTAAAGGAGGTGGAGTGCGGCGTTAAAGGCCAGCCGTTGCACGGGAAAATCCGCACGACATTCCTGGAATAACTGTGTTGTGTGGTCTTGCAAGACCAAATTTGGGATTTCAGACAAAAAAAAAATTAGGTTCCTGAGAGAAACAGGTCCCGAAAAAAGATGATCTGTTGGACGGGGCGCTGAGTAAAGGAAGGCTGGAGCCGAAAACCGCGAACCAAGAAACGCCTAGAAGCGGGTCAGTTTTTTATTCTCTCAAAAGGGTAGCGATGAAACTCGTACACGTTCACGCGTTCAACACGTTTACACATGTGGAATCCCTACCTCCTCCATTGTGCAACGGCAATTCAAAGTACTTATAAAATCTATCCACTTACTCTTTGTTTCCAGTGCACAGGGAATTCTGCACTACAGTCCCCACAACACAAGTGACGACACACTTCACGAAAATCTTAATTGGTAGTTTGTAGTAACAGCTGTTTGTGGATTGATGATAGAGCAACATCAAATACATGCTGTGAGTCGTCGGTACGTATGTTGTGGATCTGCATGCAGGCGCACTCTTAGGTGGCACAAAATGGTATGTCTTGGGGAGATTCACAAAAAGCGCTAATGTTTCGCTCTCTTCGTTTTTATTATAATTGACCATGGGACCTAAAGCACCGATTTTCGGTAAGACGGGGGCACGCTCTTTCCATGTACAATTCCTATAAGCAACTGATTACATACTGTGGGGTCGCCGTCACTTGTGTTATGGAGTCTGCATTGCAGACACACCTGGCTGGGTACAAAGGTATCTTCACCGAAATATGCTAATGTTTCGCTCTTTTTATTTTTATAATGAAGCATGGGACCTAAAATACTAATTTTCGGTGGGGATGGGTCACGCCCTTTCCGTGCAAAATACACATAAGCAAGTGATTATATACTGTGCAGGCATAAAAAAAGGGCGCCAAATCAAAGTATTCTACAATTTTTTGGTCAAAATCGATGATCTGGTGGATTCCATCCATAACGAGTGAGCATCTTGTTGGTATGGTGGATATATTCTCGTTGAGCGTCGATTTTGCTTTTTCCGGCCAGTTTCTTCCATTCACCAGCACATTTGAGAGATTCGTTGCCATCTAAACTTTGATATTTAGCAGCGCTCAAATCCGCTTACGTCGCATTGCTACGTCACTTCCAGAATTGCCTGAACATTTAATCTCTCAAGCAGATGAAGCCTTCTAGCCGGGAGCTTCGCATGGATCAGAATTTAGCCTTACTCGCGAAAACTCTTAAAGAATACGGGTGGGGTTGGTTTCATTCAGCATCGGATTAGACGCAAATAGCGAGCAGCAAACAACGGCACAGGGGATGAAGTCTTAGCCAACGCCATAACCGTGACGCATCTCGCCGATCTTCGTCCTTTGGTGGTTCTGTTCAGGCTTTTCTATCTTTGAGTGGATCGCTTTCGAGGGACCGAGAACTTTCTGCCAAAACCCATGTTCTAATAATGGCAATCACTCTGAGACAGCCCTCGCGTAGCGCTTTTAAAGGAATACTCCTTTTCAAACTCAATTCCAGACCTTCCTCACCACATTTGCAGAGAGCTCCTGAAGACGTTAACACATTGACGACACTGCGGCGCGATCACGCGCCCACCAAGTCATCCGTTTGGTGCTGACGCCTACTGGGCGTCTCAATTGTTTTACTCTTGCTATGAGACCACTCAATAGCGTAGGTGAGGGTATCGCAAGATATGGGGGTATTTCGTCTGAACGTAAGCATTGTGGTGAAGTCAAGGGGTCACACATTTGTCAAAACTGGTTAAAGCTGAACGCGTTATACGTGTATATTCTCCCAATGCCGGCTATTTCATTCCTACGCATTTCGCTGGTTTCTTTTGACTTTTAACATCTAATCCTTTTGGACGCTATCGCAGAAAGCGGGGGCATCCTCTAGGGCTAAGTCCAGGAGTGGGGAAGAACGGGGCATAAGAAAAACCTGAACATTCAATTTGGAGCCTCTTCTTGCCCACCTAAGGCTTAGTCCCATTTGTCAATGAAATAAAAAAAAACTATAATTACAAATTTTTATACAAAAAGATTTACAACGCATGAATGGCCGCTGTGGGATACCAAAACGCTCCCGTATCGATGCGATAGCGCCACGTCGATATGCTTCACCGTTAGAGGCAAAGCGGCTGCGATAACAGGTTCTTAGGCCGATGTCAGACTTTGCGAATCGCGCGATTCGCTAGCGTCCGCGGTCGCGTTGCGGTACCAGCCAATTGAGTGATTCACTGGCCGCGACGCGACCGCAGACGCTAGCGAATCGCGCGATTCGCAAAGTCTGACATCGCCTAAGTGTTTACGAATA